AGAATTTCCTTTTCTTCTTCCCCTTTCCTCATCCTCCATTTCTAAGGCATCACCAAGTCCTTCAGATTCTATCTCCTAAACACCACTCAGCTCTGTCCATGTGTCTCTTTGTCCACTGCTACCACCCTCTTTCTTCCCAGCATCATCTTTTCATCTTTTGCCTGGGTCTCTGCAATAGCATCTCACTGCCTCTAATCTAGTCTCCCCAAAGGCACAAGAGTAGTCTTTTTCAAAAGACAACTGATCAGATCACTTCTGATGTACAAGAATTTAGTGGCTCTCCTAGTTCTGTCTGTAAAGTGCAAATATCTTTGTACCTGTCTATGATGTGCCCCCACCTTACCTGTCCAGCCTGCCACCACATCACTCCCTCTGATACAGGCTACAACTTTCTTGAAGCAATTTGCATTTTTTCTGAAACGCCAGGCACATTCTTTCCTCTGGATCTCTGCTCTTGCTCTTCCCTCTGCCTAAATGATGTTCGTCACACACACTTCCCTGTGTCATTTTGAATGTCACCTCTTCAGGGAAGCCCTCCCTGATCTCTGTTCCCTTGGTTCCCTTTTTCCTGCTTATCTTGTTCACGGTAGCTGATAACGGCCAAGCACAGTGACATCCTCCTCATTCACCAGGTTGTTCGCCTGTTTCATTTTAGCTCACAACATCCCTGTGAGATGAAATCACTTACTTCCTCATCATACATTTTGGGATGCTGAGATTTAGAGTCATCAGGTAACTTTCTCAAGGTCATATAGCAAGGCAGTGTCAGAGCTGCGAACTCCTTACCTTCCATATCACACTGCTACAATCCTTTCTCTTTTTTTGAGGAAGATTAGCCCCGAGCTAACATCTGCCACCAATCCTCCTCTTTTGCTGAGGAAGACTGGCCCTGAGCTAACATCCGTGCCCATCTTCCTCTACTTTATACATGGGAAGCCTGCCACAGCATGGCTTGATAAGCGGTGTGTAGGTCCACACCCAGGGTCCGAACTGGTGAACACCAGGCCGCCAAAATAGAACGTGCGAACTTAACCGCCACACCAGCGGGCCGGCCCTATCATCCTTCTGAAAGTCTTTAAGCCTCAGAACCATGAGGACAGGGTAACATTTTTTTTAATTGAATAAACTTGACACATAACGCTGTGTAAGTTTAAGGTGTACGGCGTGTTACTTTGATTCTAACATTTTTTAAGGCTGTTTCTGCTGCTTTGAACTTTCAACAAAGTACCCTGGGTGACTCTGGACGGCTCCCAGATGAAGTGTGAGAGAAGCATCCCGTGACGTGTGGCAGCCCTTCTGAGGTCCATAGCTCCACAGTGTGAAGCCTGCCGTCGGACAAGAACCACATCTTTGCGCCTCTGCCCCTGAACCACCACCAGGTCCACTCAGTCCAGACAGGCCTCCTGAGGTTGCTTCTCCAGGAGCCTGGCGGACCCACCTCTCTCTTCTCAACAGACTAGACTGTCGTTTCCCTCTCCTCATGGATCTCCCTCCCGGGTACCGAGAATGCTGCCTTGTCCACAATAAATTGGAAACGCTGCCGTGGAATGCCTCCCGCTCTGGCCTGTGGGATTTCGCTAGCAATCTGGCTCTTCAGAAACAGGTCTCTAACTTGAAGAAGTCAGTCACTTGTGACCTTGCGGGTGGGAGGTTTCAACACAAGGAAATGGGAGATACAGAGAAGTGGGAGCTGCCAGAGATCAGAGAATATTCTGGATAGAATGGCCCCTAATAGCCCTGGGTTGACCATCTCATTTTTCAGATGAAAAAGCTGAGGGCCAGGCAGGAGAAGGTTGTATGCGGAGCTCACAGACATTCAGGAGCAGGTCAGGATAGTGACTCGAGTTTCTCAGGCCTACTTTTAGGGATCCCCTGTGGCTTTGGGGCTACCAGCATCTTTGCATCTTCTTTGGGTAATGCACTCCCATCTCCTTGTGGAATTTCCTCTTAGCCAATATGGGTGGTCTTGGTACCCCTAAGGGAGTGCCCTGCCCTCTTCTAGGCACAGAGACTAAGCCAACTTTTTGTCTCAGGACTTAATTGGATAACTCAAGGACAGAATGTAGAGATGCGAGCATTTCTTTCTGGTCACTGTCCCCAGAGAGACCGAACTGTCTGGCACAGTAGAGAGTTTGGCATTGTTTGTGTCAAGTCTGTCTCCACTCTGGCTTCTCAGGTCTCCATCAGTTCTGGGAACTCTCCAATTCCTTCTAGAAAATTCTGTTTAGGATTAAATCAGTCAGTAGGACCTTCTGTTTCTTGCAACTAAAAGGCCCTGCAGGACGGGCCCTTCTTCATGTCTTCTCCAAAAGAAACAGGAAACTGAAAGTCATAACGAGATATAAATACGACCAAATCCTGGACAGTAACATCTTCTGAGTCCCATCTCGTCAGCTGCATATTTTGTTCTTCGATTATCTGCGATTAGGGATAATCTGTACCGGGGTTCAGGCCCACCAACACAGCCGATAGCCGGCCTTCTGGATCCTGTGGCGTCTCCACTCTTACAATGTAGAATTACTTCCTCCTTTCAAACCCAAATAAACTTTGCACAGCTTAAGTGGAATTCTTAGGTTGTTTTTTAACTCCCATTTAAGAAATCATTATTTTGTAGCAGGTATTGTGCTAAGGGTTTTACATATACCATTTAATCATCTCAACAATTCTACGGGTTATGCGCTATTATCAGCTCCATTGCATTAAGGAAAAACTGGCCCTCAAAATGAGGGTGTGGGGCGTGGTAAATGAATTGCCAAGGTCCCATGGCTAGTAGGTGGCAGACCTTAGCTATAAACTCAATTCCATCCAACTCCAGAGGCCCTGTTCTAAAACCCTTGGCTGGATTGTCTGGGAATAACTCAGAGACACTCCATTCAAGTACAAAGCCCACTTCTCAATCAGGGAACCCCCCGAGAGCAAGTAAAGCTGAGTATCAGAATCTCCAGGGAAATTGTTGTTTGAAAAGGATATTTAGTAGGACATAATAATTTCGTATTTGAAAAGTAGACAATAAAACCCATCTCAATATATTTTTTTTTAAAGATTTTATTTTTTTCCTTTTTCTCCCCAAAGCCCCCTGGTACATAGTTGTATATTCTTCGTTGTAGGTCCTTCTAGTTGTGGCATGTGGGACGCTGCCTCAGCGTGGCTTGATGAGCAGTGCCATGTCCATGCCCAGGATTCGAACCAACGAAACACTGGGCCGCTTGCAGCAGAGCGTGTGAACTTAACCACTTGGCCATGGGGCCAGCCCCTCAATATATTTTTTTAATACAAACCAGGACCCCTCTGAGAGGGAGCGGCTGTTGTCGTGATTTGTTTTGGGTGTCCCAGGCACGCCAGGCTGTAGGATGGCCGTTTCACAGATGAGGAAACTCAGCCTCAGGTAGGGTCAGATCTCAGAGGAAATGAGTGGGAGAGTCCGAATTGGAACACAAAGAATAGCAGAGGTACCCAACATTCTCCCATGTGACTTTTTTTTTTCTTAAAGATTGGCACCTGAGCTAACAACTGTTGCCAATCTTTTTTTTTTTTTTTCCTGCTTTTTCTCCCCAAATCCCCCAAGTACATAGTTGTATACCCTAGTTGTGAGTTCTTCTAGTTGTGGCATGTGGGACGCCGCCTCAGCGTGGCCTGATGAGCTGTGCCATCCGCACCCAGGATCCGGTTGGGGAAGCCCTGGGCTTCCGAAGCGAAACCCGCAAACTTAATCACTCGGCCATGGGGCCTGCCCCTCCCATGTGATTTTTCGAGAGTTCTGCCAGTCTTTCAAAACTGCCATCAACACTCGCTTATCCCAGGAGTCTCTTCCCCTGTCTTCACATCACCTTCTTCCCTGTATTTGTGTGTGTCTCTGTGCCTCCTCTCTTCTTCCTATAAGGACACTAGTCGTTGGATTTAGGGCCCACCTTAAATTAATATGACCTCATCTTAATCATTACGTCTACAAACACGCTATTTCCAAACAGGGTCCCATTCTGAGGTTCCTGGTAGACATGAATTCTGAGGGGACACGATTCAGCCCAGTGCGGATGGATGAGCACCTCCAGGGCTGGATTTGTGACATAGAGCCACTCTGCTCTCAGTGCCGAAACTGGGGAGTCCGCACAGTAGGCTCCCAATGATCCTGGTTGGACCCGCTCACCAGGATGGACCTGAGCAAGGGCAGCCATGAGTTCAGTTCAAGGGAGGCTGGGTTTGTGTCTGCTCCTAGCCCTCTGCCGAGCAAACCATACGCAAGCCCCTTTCTTCCCTTTTTTGCAGGGTTGTCTCTTCCTGCTGTCCACCCACCCTCGCCTCCTCTTCTCTTTCCTTCCCCCTTCCAGCACGAATGGCTGGACTGGCAGGCAGTTCTGGGGGAGGGGTGTGTGTGTGCATGCATTCCCGAGGTGAGGAACTCTCCCCATTCCGTGCCTCAACCTCCTCACTCCAAGCTCCCCCACCCCAACCAAGGCTTTCTTTCCCCTTTGCTTTTAGGGTGCAGAGCCATTGCATCGTCCAGAAAGCCAAACTAAATTTGCAGCCCTTAGTCAAATATCTTCTCTTAGCCACACACCCTTCCGATTTTTTTTTCTCCGCAAGTCCCAAGTGCAACGTTTCCTCATTGCTGTGTCTTCCTCTTTCTTTAGTTTCTGGATGCCAGTTAACTTTTTCTGATTAAAAATTAATAGCATGTGGTCACTTCATGAACTTTTTACTACCAGCCAATCATTGTGCCCAAAACTTCACACACATCATGTCACTCATTCTTGACATGATTCTCCTCGTACAGATGAGAATGCTGAGGTCTCGAGCAACTGTGTAGTTCGCCCAAGGTCACGCAGCTACTTCAAGATGGAATCAAAAGTTGGACCTAGGGGCCGGCTCCGTGGCCGAGTGGTTAAGTTCACGCGCTCCACTGCAGCAGCCCAGGGTTCGGATCCTGGACACGGACATGGCACGGCTCGTCAGGCCACGTTGAGGTGGCGTCCCACATCCCACAACTAGAAGGACCTGCAACTAAGATATACAACTGTGTACCGGGGGATTTGAGGAGATAAAGCAGAAAAAAAAAAAAAGTTGGACCTATGTCCATCAGATGCCAGGGCACTTTTTCTTCATCACACTGGGGTGATGGAAGGGACCCTTGGATTTCATATTCTTTCAAACTGCTTCCCAGCCAACCTTCCTGAAAATGTATAAGCCCATTGAGTTTGAGGAGTTAAGCAGACTCTTCACATTTCCCGTCTCCTCTGAAATCACTGCTGGGGTGGAGTGGCTGTTGAAAGAGAACCTTGCAGTCAAAATGAGAGCCTGCGCATCATTGTCAGAGTCTCTTGGAATCAGTTTTTCTGATAGCAGCTACTTTGGGCTTCTGGGTGCAGTAATTTAAGCCCTAAAATGTAAACTTCCCACAATTTCAAAAAGCTCCTCTTTGGCAGGTTTCCACTGAACTTGATTCAGCATGTTCCTGTGCTGACTGAGGACAGCAAGCCCTGGTGTGTCCTCAAATCGGAGTCAACTAACAGCCTCGCATACAGGACGTCCCAATCCTGGTAAATATCTTGAAGTTTCACAAACGAACCAGTTCTCTCCGGCCTCTTTGCACCTGCCATTCCCTGTGCCAAGCACCGCCCCCTGAACCTAACTATTTGTCCTTCAAGGCATCAGAGCACCCAGGAAGGCATTTCGTCACCCACCCCACCCTGAAGGAGTCTTTATCTGAACCCTAAAGCAGCCCCTGGTGGTTCACCCTCAGGGTAGTGAGTGAGAGACTTAAAACCTAGGCTTTGCCCCAAATCTACTAAGTCAGGATCTCTAGGATGGAGCCTGGGAAATATGCATCTTAGCGAGTTCTCCAGGTGCCTGGGAAGATGTCCTAGTCCGAACTTCCCAGAACTGAGTCATTGTTTCATCTTCAGAAGTTTTTTCGTGTACTTAAAAAAAATCAACAAACCCTTACATGGGGCTTACTGTGTTCCAGGCACTGTGTGCATTTCACACTGTGCACTCACATGAAGGGCAGAACAACCCCAGGGAGGAAGACACTACTAATATTCCTGTTTTGCAGATAAGGAAGCTGAGGCACAGGAGGTCAAGAAACTTGTCCGAGGTCACCTGTGGAGAGAGTGGTGGAGCTGGCTTATCTGTGGATTTCTTCCTTTAAATCATCTCACTTTTTAAATTGAAATAATTTCTTTGAATTTAATGGAAAAGCTTTGAGGACAGGGATTTTTCAGCTATTTGTTCATTTCTGGGTGCTTAGAGGCTAGAACAGTGCCAGGCACAGAGTAACCATCACTACATATTTGTTGAATGAATGAATGAAGGAAAATGGAAACATTTCATGGGACTGACAAATAAAAATGGCAAGCAATAGGATATATTGGAGAATATGAGGAAGCCATTTGGTATAAACCTAATTCGGCCTGACCTTGTCTTTCCAAAAGGGCCTGACTGTGGCTGTTGAGCACCCATTCTATATCTGCTTTAGATATTCCCTATGGCAAGAACAAAGGCCCTTGAGATAAAGGTGCAACTTCCCTCCCCCTCCCAACATTGGCATTCCCTTAAGGATTTAGCATCTTTCGTCAGGCTTGGAACCGATTGCTGCGCTCACCTGTGACCACCCAGCTCAAGACAATAGACTTGCCTCCTGCTACGCCCTCCGCGATAGCAGACCCACTACCTGCTGTGTCCATCAAGCGCTGTGCAGACAGGGCAATCTGTGACTATTGTGGGAGGGACATTTCAATCACATGTGAAACATCCTGTTTGGGGGTATATAACCACTCTGTATACCTCACTTCTTTGGTGCACTTTCTTCCTTCGGGAAGAAAGGCCCCGGACCATGGTCCTCAGATTTCAGCTCAGAAGAAACTCACCCAAATTTTCATTTATAGATTGGTTATGGATTATTTTCATCGACAGGACTGAGGTGTTGCTTATATATTTTTTTCGTATACTCACTAAAAATACACTGACATGATTATTGCTGTTAAAAACGTGTGTCCCATCTAAAATCAAGTTATATTTCTGTACTGGTATCTCTACTCCAGTTTGGGAACCCCTGGGCTCAAACTTACCTCGAGCTTTATCCAGACCACAGTAAATCGTAATTTTCTCTTCTAGACTGTGACCTCTTGAAAACAGGAATTGGATTTATTTATTTTGCATCCCTGTGCTTGGGGTAAAAGTCCACTACAGCATTCTTCATTCTTGCCAGAGGGAACTCATTTTAGATGGGATGAAATCAAAATTCTTTCAAATCCTTTGAGATCTGAAAGGAGGCGATGAGAGTAACTGGATTGTAAAGAATTAGGACACTCAGGAGGCCTGGACTGAGTCAGTAAAGGGATGTCATCCAGGTTGGAGCTGTCAGGACCAGGGCACCTACTTCCGGTTGACTCTTCATATCCCAGAGATGGTCTATTTTTTGGTGGTCTTTCCAGGCTGTCAGTCCTTGTAGGTAAAGATCATGTCTTTCTTGTCCCCTCTGTATCTTCAGAACCTGCTTAGTGACTGGCATATAGAAGATGATCAATAAAAGCTGTGGGATGAATGAGAACTTGTTAAATATGTTCCAATGAGAAACATATAATGCTCACTCACTCATTTTCCCATTTCCACAGTCTCCTATGGCTCTAATATTTCCATATAAAATGCCTTTGTGGGAGGCAATTTGGTTGGAAAGGCTGACTTGAAGTTGTATCAAACAAGCATTTTCTGTAAGCTAGATAAATATTAATTAGCCCCATAAAGAAGGAGGACAATGAAGATTGCCATGGAGAAGAATTTTATGTCCAGCCCCATCCCATGTCCCAGTAGTACCTGAACTCAAGTCCCCGACTTGTCAATTTCGGGGGTTGGCGCAGTGACCTCACCAGCTGGCACGAGCTCTAGGTCATTATTCAGAATATTGGCTCTGCTTCGGATGCGATGCCAACAGAAGTATCACAGGCTCACAGCAGGGAGGCAGGCGGGCAGGAAGGAAGTCAGTGGTGGTTAAACTTTCCTTAGGTACACAGCCGCCAAGCCCAAAGCACACAGGGAAAGTACAGGCTGGAGCTGCCAAGAGCCGAGCAGGGAGGAAATCACGAAGAAACAGAACTCAGGAGAACACTGAGGGTCCTACCTTAGCAGGGAATGCTCAGTTTCAGAGAATGTCCTGATGGCTGTTGAGAGAGCCAGGCCGGTGGGAAAAAGAGAAAGAAGGCTGACCATCACACATCAGACTGGTAGATGGGTTAAGTCCTCTCCGACCCAGAGACTCCATAGAATGGTGAGTGAGCCCAACAGCATTTACGCGATAGCTTGCCAATTTCTTTGCATTATAAAAGAAAGTCATCATCTTCTAATGCATCCAAGGGCCTGCAGAAGCTCAAGGAAGGGGAAACGAGAAGAGAAAGAGATAACAAACAAGAAGTGGAAGCTAAGAGAGTTGTTTGCTATCAGCCAGGCTGGACGTGTTCACACGTATGATGGGATCTTAAATTATATCCACCCAGTGGGGCACTTCCTGTTACAGCAGCCCTCTTGCAACTGAGGAAGCTTAAGCAGGTTAAACTGCTATACCGTGCTGGTATCTGCACCCCAGTTTGGGAACCCCTGGGCTTAAGCTGACTTCTGTCTTTACACAGATCACAATAAATCGTAACTTTCTCTTCCTGTGGGTCCCTGGAAACAGGAAAGTCACAGTGCCTGTAGTGGTGTTCAGGAAACGTTAGCCGTTTTTCTGATGCTATTGTGGTGTGGTAAATTGCCTGGGAGAGAGGAAGAATGGAGAAACAGAGCGATAGGGTGCTGTGAAGGAGAGAGAAGAGTACTGATAGTTGAATAAGAGTGGTCTCTCTCCGGTTTTTAAAGTTCTCCAAACCAAATCTGTTTAGTCATACTCCAGTTATATCTACTTTTAACGTAGACACATGTCATGAATGACATGAGCAATATTTGAATTTTCAGCTGTCCTTAAGTTTTTTGCTGGATTTATTTACCTTTGCATCCCTGTGCCTGGGATAAAAGTCTACAACTGCGGGGCCGGCCTGGTGACACAGCAGTTAAGTTTGCACCTTCCGCTTCTCAGCGGCCCGGGGTTTGCCGGTTCGGATCCCGGGTGTGGACACAGTACAGCTTGGCACACCGTGCTATGGTAGGCATCCCACATATAAAGTAGAAGAAGATGGGCACGGATGTTAGCTCAGGGCCAGGCTTCCTCAGCAAAAGTGTCAAGATAGCTCTTCTTATTGGAGGCTGAGATTATAACCTTAATTTTAATATATTCATTTTATTTTAAGCTCTGAAAGCATTAGGAGAAAATTAACAGATGCTATTTCCCTCTTTGCCTTGGCTGCTAGGAAGCTCAGAGTCAAATTAACGTCCAACTGTAGCAAATCTGTAAGACTTTATGGTACTTATTTTCACTAGTAACCTTGTCCTTGGCTTCATTTTATTTTTCTTCTCATTGTTTTTCCCTTTCTTGTTTTCCTTACCCTGATTTCTTTACTTATTCCTTCCTTTGGTCTAATATATATCTGTTAGGTACTTCACATTCACTTTGAAATGAAGGAAGAAAATAATAAAAATATGAGCAGCATAGCTTGAGAACATCAGTGACAGAAAAAGCTTATGCATTAGCATCAGAAAAAATCTGGATTTCAATGCCAGATCGACCATTGCAAGAATTACTATGCCTCAGTTTCTTCTTTTTTAGAAGAGTGTGAGCAGGGGCACTAATAATACCTCTCTTGAAGCTTCATGTTGAGGATTATATTGGGAAAAGCGCTCTGCCCTTAGCAAGTGCTCTTACCGAACTTTACTTCCTTCCTTCCTCAACTCAAAATGCCTTCAGCAGCTATTTGCTCTTGAACTTGCTCAATCATGTTCCTGGGTGACCTGGGGAGCTCGGAAATATCTGCTGCTGAGGAAATGGATTTTAGCTGCATCAGGAGAACGTTAGGTCAGAAGGAAGCCGGGCAGAAAGGGCTGGCTAAGAGGAAATCACGGCTGACCGGGGCTTGCCAAGGAACGTAACATACACGATCTCGTGAAATCACAGGTGGAAATTCGGGGCTGCGAGACACTGTGAAGTGTCTAAGAACAGGTGTGGGGCTGCCTCTGAGGGGCTTCCTGAAAAACCTCTCTAGTGTGGGCCTGCCGGAAAGCAGGGTATGGGTGATGCCAGCTAATATTTTAAAATTGTTCTCCATGTATGTAATTCTGTGTGATCTGCAGAAGGTAGAGCACTATTGACATTGGGGGCTGGGTGATTCTGTGTTGTGGGGCTGTCCTGTGTATTGTAGGATGTTCTGGGGTTGACATCTTCCCACTAGATGCCAGCAGCCCCCCCTGCCAACCCCGGTCACAGCAATCAAAAATGCCTCCAGACATTGCCAAATGTCCCTTGGGGAGCAAAATCACCCCCTCGCCTCCTCTGAGAACCACTGATGTAGAGTTACAAAGCATCTGACATTGTTCAGCATCTTTTAAACACCTACCAAGAATTTGGGGAGATGTAAATGTTTACGACATGGTCTCAGTCCTCATGCAACTCGTAACTCATGCTCCAGTAGAGGAGATGGACGTACCCACATATAATCGCCACTAAGTGTGGCCAGCACAATAATAGAGAAACGAACAAGGCATGAGGTTCAGACTGGGCTCAAAGCGAGCGTGACCAGCCCTTCTGAGAGTGGAGAGTAAGGGGATGCTTCTGTGGAGCCTTACCTACAACCACAGACCACCCTCCCCAAGGGGCTTCCTGTCCTCCAACCCCCATGGTTGTGATTCTTTTTTCAGCACTTTGTATGTTTCCTTCACAGCAATGACCATAATTCGTAACTGATTTTTTTGTTTCCTTGTGATTTTGTTTGTCTACTTCCTTCACCAGACTACAAACTCCACAAGAAAAAGGACTGCTTCGGTCTTGGCTACGCTAGAAATCCTGACCCCTGGCACAAGGTAGAGCCCAAAGCAGGGATTCAAGAAGTATTTAAAGAAGGAAGAAAACTAGAAAGGAAGGAGGAAGGAAGGGAAGAAGGAGAGAGAAACTAGGGATTCCCAAGGCAGGGAAGGTGAGAAAAGCATTTCAGACGGGGAACAGTATGTGCAATGGCCCAGAGAGGTCGATAGAACTGCCCACATAATTTGAAGGACCCCGTGCAGAATGAACACACTGGACCCCTTGTTCAAATATTAAGAATTTCAAGACAGCTATAGCAGAAAATTAAACCAAATGTTGGCCCTTGTACGTGCAGGGCCTTGTGCGAATGCACAGGTCACTCGTCCATGAGATAAACATCCTGAGCCATCAGTAGTCGGGGGAGCCTGTCTCTCTCAGTCCGCACGTTGGTCCGATGAGGTAGTCAACGTGACATCCAGCAACCACACGGTGTTTTCTAACAGCTGAAGCCGGTTTCCCAGAAGAGAACAGAGCCGGTCTAAGTGTGCGTTTCCAAATTTGATGTTGATATTAAGAAATACTGCAGGACCAGGTTGCTCGGCACAGGTTCCACAAAGCGTTGCTTGGCCGAAAGCTTGCGAAAACTCTCAGCAAGCCCCAGACAAAGCTGCAGTGTGTGGAGTTCTGGATCAAAGCCGGCTAGCTGAAGGCAGAAAGTGGACTGAGTTTCTGCGTAACGAGGCTCGTTCAGAGTCTAGTCAAGTCCTCCCGGACTCTGTGCCTGGCCAACATAACAATTTGTTATCAGCCCACAGCGCAAGCTGTGGATAAATGCGTTCTGATCCTGTCTTTGGGAAAACCTATAATTTACAGGTTATCTTTGGGGATAACGTTAATTAGGACTTACATGTCATGTTTTACTTCCAGTTATGATTACCCAAGTCATTTGCTCTGATCCCTCTAAAGGGCACTGGTACTGGGGCGGGTTATTGATGGAAATTCTAGCTGGCGACTACTTTGTGTGTGCCATGAGCGTGCGTGAGTGCATGTGAGTGCACGTGCGTGCACACAGACACGCCCTCGCCTGAGATTTGCACATATACCAGTATGAAAAGGATAATTACTTTATTTACACCTCTTTTAAGCCTAGAGAAAGCTGGTAATCCAAGAAAACTTGGAAATTACCTTTTCTCAGGCATTATAGACTATAACCTGGTTACTACGATCTACTTCAGGAATGGAAAGAAAAGGGAAAGAAAGTCTCATTTACTGGACACTAACCTATCCTATGCCAGGCTCTTTCAGGTACATGATTTTGTGAATCCTTCATAAGAACCTGAGAGATGGGTACTAATATACCCATTTTTGTAGATGAGAAAACTCAACTCAGGGTTTTTGTGATTATATCCCAGGAGTCTAGCTCTATAACTCATATTCTTTCTCTTTCAGATTGGATGAAGAAGGGATGGAAGAGAAGTACAGAGTTAATTTCTCGTCCTTGAGGATCAAAAAGCACACGTACCATTGCCCCATGCCTGAGGCGTCAGCCCAGGTTGAACTCCCTTCCACAGTGGTGCTGGCGGTCCCATCATTTCCCAGCTGTTCAACCTCAGAGAGTCAGCAGGCGGTCAGGTACCACGGCTAATAGAACCCGTAGTAATGGAAACTCCAAAAGAATACCGGTGTGGACCGTGAGTGACCTCAGAAGACATCTTTCACTATTTCCTGATTCTGGAATTCTAGTCACTCCCCCATTCCCAACAAACTATTGATTCCACACTCTCCTCCAATTCTTGCCACTGTAGAAGCCCCGCCCCCTTCTGTTCTTTGCTTTTTGAGCCACAAAAGGACATGCCAGGTGGCTCTCTGCCCACAGCTCAGAGGAGGGAACGAGGACCCAGGGCTCTGGCTTGAGGAATGGGAGAGTCATTTGCTCTTCTTCGAGGCTCTTCTTCTTAAGGATCTCCTGCATCCTGCACTGAGACATTTGCCATAGCAGAGGAAGCAATGAGACCTCAAGTCCCAAAATGTGGGTTGCAGTGCCAGCTGTGTGACTTGGACCATGTACCAGCTGTGTGACTTGGGAGGTTAAGTCACTTCACCTCTCTAATTCTCAGTTTCCTGGTCTATAAAATGAAGATGATAATATCCCACATCTCTCACGCACTGTTGTGAAGGAGTTTTAAAATGCATATACTTCGGCCAACAATTCCGCTTATAGAAATGTACCCAAGGAAATACCCGGACAAGTACGCAAAATGAGTAAGTACAGAGATGTTCCTGAGACATTGCTTACAATACTGAAAAAATTGAAGCAGTCCTAATGTCTGTCCATATGGAATTTAAGTAATTATAACATATCCACAGTTGCGATAAGTGTAGGCATTTAAAATAATACAGTACATCTCCATTTACTGTTAGCAATTTATCTTACAGGTGATATGATTAGATATGCAAAGAATAAGTTGGGTAGGCTATCCAAGACCCTAAGTATAGTGGCTGATTCTAAGGGGTGGAACTGAGAGTCTGCGAGAGAATATTCATTCACTGAATATCTTTGTGAACTGTTTGAAGTTTTTACCTTGTGCGTGTTCAGCCTGAGAATTTCTTAATTAAAATGAATAAAAATTTAAAATATGTGTTTGCGTGTGTATGAAAACTTGTAAGGACACGTCCGTTACCAGTTGTTGTCTTACACTGCAGATCACAGGGAGTTTTTTTCCCTTTGTTATGCTTCCCTGAATTTTCCAAGCTGTTTGCAACAAGCAGCGCATGAACTTATAGTAACGAAGTAGAACAAAACAGAACAATAAAATACTTTCTGTTTTAGAAAAAGCAAGCCACTACGTCTAAATTCTTTTGCCTTTAGAAAGCTTCTAGAAAATAGTTGTGAGATTATTAGATTAGCTGTCTATTGCTGTATAACAAATTACCCACAAACACAGTGGCTTAAAACCACAATAAACACTTATCTCGAAAAGTGTCTGCGGGTCAAGATTTTAGGGACATCTTGCCGAGTGGTTTTGGCTCAGGATCTTTGAAGAAGTTGCAGTTGTGAGCCACAGCTGCAGTCATCTGAAAGCATAACTACTGCTGGCTATTAACACTGGGTCTCAGGGGCCAGCCGGGTGGTGCAGCAGCTAAGTTCGCGTGCTCCACTTTGGTGGCCCGGGGTTCGCTGGTTCAGATCCCAGGTGCAGACCTATGCACTGCTTATCAAGCCATGCTGTGGCAGGCGTCTCACATAAAGTGGAGGAAGATGGGCACAGATGTTAGCTCAGGGCCAATCTTCCTCAGCAAAAAAGAGGAGGATCGACAGTGTATGTTGGCTCAGGACTAATCTCCCCCCCACCCCACAAAAGAAAAGTTAAAAAAAAAGAATGAGTTCCTAGTGACATGGACCTCTCCACAAGGCTGCTTGAGCATCCTCATGACATGGCATCTGACTTCTTCCAGAGCAACTATTTCAAGAGGGAGCAAGGCAGAAGCCACAACATCTTTTAGGACCCAGCCTCAGAAGTCATATGTATCTTTTGCAAAATCCTCTTGAGTTACGGAAGTCAGCTTTATTCAGCATGGAGGGGATGACATAAAGGCATGAATACAAGAAAGCAAGGACCAGTTGGGGACATTCTGGAGGCTGGCTACCATAACTATACACATGAAGAGTCTTCCAAAAATTGTTGAATGCTATCCAAATGAGTGGGAGCCTTACATTTTGTCCTTTCTCTTCCCCAGGAAGCATCTCGACAGTAATGTCTATGTTTTTGCTTACCTGATCACACATTATTTCAGCCTTGTGTCTTCAAACAGCCCTTCCTTTGAAGAATTCTAAATAATATGTAGGACAAAACAGAGAGTAGGACCCTAAGAACTTACTATCCATCACTTTGTTCGTGGACTATCTATTTTGCAAATGGTGTCAGAGCATTGTTCATTCTCACTGGTCTCCTTCACTCACCTGCCCACCTGCCTGTGGATGTACGGGAGTGTTCCCAGAAATAAAGAATAGAGCCTGTATCAGGCTCAATTAACCAGTAGTTCCTTCAGGCCAGTACCAATGTCATAGTCATCTCTGTACCCTAAGGGTTTGGCATGCTGCTGGCTCAGCAGCTGCTAAATAATTGCTTGCTGATTTTAATGAACATAAGGAAACCATAATCTGAGAGGTAAGTTTGCTTCTGCTAAAAGAAGTGAATGCAACCAATGGCAAAAATAATCATTTGACTTCGTCAGATCTCATCTCTGATGCTCTACCTGCTCTCATCTTCTCAGCCCTACCTTCAATCCTGCCTCCATCTGTGGCTTATCTGCCCTAATTCCCCACCCTCATCTCTTTGGGTCTCACCCCTGGCCCAGTCACATATTAGCTATTTGATTTTGTGCAAGTTACTTAATATCCCTGAGCCTCAGTATTCTGATCTGTAAAACAAGGATAATAACACTTCCTCATGGTGTTGTTAAAAAGCTGAAGTTAAAGAATAATCCATACAGTGCCAGGAACTTAGGAGAAGTTAAATAGATATGATTTCCCTCTCTGCTCTTTATGTTGTCATGAGCTTAGTGCACATTTCATTTTGTGGTTTACTTTTGTCATTTAATATGATTTTGCAATCATTTTTACGAGTTGTCACCTGGTGTTCATAGTTACATTTTTATTGGCCACATAATATTTTATCAACCATTTCCAATTATGGGACAGTTAAGGTCTTTCAAAATTCTTGTTGTTACATATAACATGTCCTCTTGGATTTTTTTCCATAGGAAAACTTCCTAGGATTGATATTATCTGTCTGCTGGCAATTTGAGTTTGAAATTTTTTTATTAATATATAAAGTTTAGCTGTCATTTCTCCAGCTGGAGTTTACACTCCTTGATAGCAAGGATTATGTCTCATTCTCAATGGGCAGCAATGTGTGGTGGTTAAGGGCACAAGTTTTGGAACTAGACAGACCTGAGTTTGAGTTCTGGTTTTGCCACTCTTTGAAATTCAGCATTCCCAATTGTGTAGATATCTACACCTATGCATTGGCCTTGGTACCGGTTGTGTATTGCTGCATTACAAACAACCCTAAAGCTAAATGATTTAAAACAGCAACAATCACCTATTTGGTTCATGTATCTGCAACTGGACAGCACACAGCAAAGACAGCTCATCTCTCCTCCCTGCGGTGTGAGTTGCGGCAAGCTGGGGGATCCACTTTCAAGATGGCGCACTCACATGGCTGCTAACTAGGTTGGTGCCAGCTATCAGCAGGAAATCCAGCTGGAACTGTGGTCTGGGATTCTTGGTTCTTCTCCACATGGGTTTTGTCATAAATTTCTTCTTTTCCTCACAAGATGGTGGCTCAGTTCCAAGAGTGAGTGTTCTGAGACCGCCAGGTGGAAGCTGTATTGCCTTTTATGACCCAGCCCCAGAAGTCAGATAGTGCCACTTCCATTATAGTCACAAGCCCATCTAGATTGAAGCAGAAGGAACACTGACCCCACCTCTTGATGGAAGGACTGCCAAATCACACTGTAAGAAGAGCTGACGGGATGGGACATTTTTCTGAGGCTATTTTTGGAAAGTAAATTTTGCCACAGAATTGTTGTAAGGATTTAAAAATTGAATGAAAAATATGGGTTTAAATGCTCACTAGAGTACCTGGCTCATAGTAGGTATTCAATTCCTAGTGACTATTGACACTTGGACATGGAGCCAAGGGTATTCAGGACCTCAGGGTAGACATTCAACAGATATTCAGGGTTGAGTGATTTTCAAATAATCTATGTTGCAGTTATCTGGCTCACCTCTTCTCGCCTCACAAGAATAATGAAGAGTGTGTCAGTCCTGATATTTTGCTTTCCCAATTGCTCTTCTCTTTTATAAGCTCATAACACACTTATTTGGTCAATCATGACAAGCATTAAGAACAGACAACACTGTGAGATATTGCCTAGCTACAGCCCATTTGTCTCGTGGTTGGGTCTTTCCAAACTGTCCTGTATGGCTTAGCCCAAAAATAGTTTGTCTGCAGTGTATGAAAGAGGATGTTAGAGATAAGACAGATTGTGAAGCTGACCTACTGTCAATCAAATGGGAGGTTTTAGCTTAGAATGTCCCCAAACCACTCAGTCTCAGCTGCAGAGACACCAGGAGTAGAGCAGAACCAACTGGGTTGGTTGCAGCTGGAAAGAACTGTCAAAAGGGGCCCAAAGACAGGATGGCATTTGCTGAAGGTCATAGAGCAAGTTGATGTCAGAGTCGTAGACAGAGCAGGGTTTCTCAGCCTCAGCACTACTGAGATTTTGAATCAGTCAATTCTTTGTTGTGGAGTCCATCCCGTGCATCGTAGGATGTTTAGAAGCATCCTTGGCCTCTACCTACCAAATGCCAGTAGCATCCTCCTCCCAATTCGTGACAGCCAAAAATGCCTGTAGCATTGCCAAATGTCTCCTGGGAGGAAAAACCGCCCCAGCAGAGAACCACTGGACTAGAATTCAGGTGTTCCAACTTCCTGTGAAACTACGCAGCTAAAACATCATTTGGACAGGTGCTGAGTGGATTTACAAAGACTAACTTTAGGGCTTTTGAACTAGACTTTGTAGACTAGTATGGTTGTTGCTATAGAAAGAACCCTCCCACCCAAAAAAAGGCAAATCTAGAGCACAGATATTTTATGAAACAGTTGACCTGTTTTCAAAAGTTCAAAATCATGGAAGAAAGGAGGTAGGGATGACTCTCATAGATTAAATGAGACTCATGACCTTGTCCTTGGTTGGATCTGGTTAAGAAACATCCACACACAACCATAAAATATATTGGAGGGACCAATGTAAAATTTGAATATGCAATTATTATTTAATTTTTTAGATGTGGATATGGTATTATAGTTGATAGAATGTCCTTGTTTCGGGGCGATGCATGCTGAAACATTTAGGGGTGAAAGAAGACTTGCATCTGTAACTTACTTTAAGATGGATGAGTTATCAAAAGTAAGCAAATATGTTGGTGCCAGCCCCATGGCTGAGTGGTTAAGTTCACCTGCTCCACTCCTGCGGCCCAGGGTTCGTGGGGTCAGATCCCAGGTGCAGATCTACACACCACTCATCAAGCCACGCTGTGGTGGCATCCCATACACAAAACAGAGACAGTTGGCACAGATGTTAGCTCAAGGTCAATCTTCCTCACCAGAAAAAAAAAAAGTAGGGGCCAGCCTAGTGGTGCAGTGGTTAAGTGTGCAGGTTCTGCCTCTTGGCGGCCCGGGGTTCACTGGTTCAGATCCAGGGTGCAGACATGGCACCACTTGGCAAACGCCATGCTGCATCAGGCATCCTACGTATAGAGTAGAGGAAGATGGGCATGGATGTTAGCTCAGGGCCAATCTTCCTCAGAAAAAAGAGGAGGATTGGCAGTAGTCAGCTCAGGGCTAATCTTCCTCAAAAAAAAGAAGTAAATTTTATATAGTTCAGCCTAAAGCACAAGACTACCTTCATTTGAATGAAAGTGGGAAATGGACTGGGTAGAGGGAAGAATGAGATAGATCTAGATGTCTTAATGTGGATGTCTTTCCAAGACATTTATTACAGTGTGTATATATCTCATTTTTTTTTCTCTCCATAATCTGACTACTTCTTACCACCTGCACCTGCTCCCTTACTGGTCCAAGCTGAGATGCCAGCATTACTGTTTCCACCTTTGGCCTCTGACAGCCATTCACGTGGCAGCCAGAAGTACCCTTTTAAAAACTCAGCCATAGCATATCACTCTTCACTCACAAACATTTAATGGCTGCGTCTTACAGAATATCGTCTGGCATCTTACATAACATCCACCAGGCCCTACACAATGTGATGATCCATTATCTCCCTGATTTCAGCTCCTGCTCTTCTCTCTCTTGGTCATTTATACCATTCATACCAGCATCTTTGCTGTTCCTCAAACA